GGGCCTTCGCCGGGCCCCAGGACCACGAAAAAACTAAATGCTCGGGAGGAACCGCTGGCACTGGGGGCATGGGCCGGGACTTCCGGAAGCCGCGCGTGGAAAAACAGCAGGGCACCCCGCAGGTCTGGGACAAGGACGGGGGCCGTCGACAGGCACCCGCCGCGCCCGGCGGTTCTCAGGGCGCAAGCGCGCACCCAAAGACGCCCCCAGCGTGGGCTCTGCGGCGCCGCTGGGCTGAGGCCGAAGGGGTGGCTGCCAGCGCTACAGTGGAGGCCAGTCCACAAGAAACCTTCCACAAGAAACCCAGCCCTGAGACCGTCCATTGATTTTTGGCGCAGCGTCACGCTTTCCATCGCAAAACCATGGAAACCAAAGAGACCCAGCCATGGCACCCTGGAGGCACGCAGGGTGTTTCTCGGCATGGGCCCCCACTGTATAGCGGGGTGGGGTCACAGCGCCGCCAGGGTGGCCATCGACGGTGGCCGCCAGCGCAGCCGCCCTCCTCGGCCCAGCCCACGGCGTCCTGACGAACAGCATGGCGGACGTCATTTCCCGCGTTGCAGCCGCGACTGGCATCGTGCTCGGCCTCGCGCGGTGACGACGTCCCCCTTCTGGACGATGCGCCTCCGGGCCGAAAGCCGCCGCGGCCAATGTGTATCGGAGCATCTGCTGCTCGGAGGCGCTGCGCTGGGCTGGCCACGCCCGCTCGCCCTACACGGCGGTGCCCACGACACTGGCCCTATAGGCAGTACTCCGACCGTTTCCTCTGGGACTTCCTCTCAAATGCCTATAGACCCCCCCCGCCGGCGTCCCCGCCTCGCTTCTCCCAAGCACAGGTGTCCCTGGCGGCCCTGGCAGGTGGGCTCCCGGACCGGCACGACGCCGAATACGCCGTGACAGGCTCAACGCGCCACGACGGTAACGGCCCGAGATGCGCAGCGGCTGGCACGCCTTTGCCGATGCTGCTAATTTCCAGACGGGCTACGCCGCGTGTTCTGTGCCGCTGTCGAGGACGGGCGGATTTTTCACGGATGGCACAGCCGACCAGCGCCCCGCATCCAAGCTGAGGTGCGCCACTTAGGGGCCCCGAACTCCGCGCCCGACGCTCCCCAACCCCCTCGCCGGGCCGCCCGCCGCGCCTGACCGCGGACGGCTACCCACGCGGGCTGGCGACTCCGGCGGGGACTATCGCCCTGGCACGCCGCAGCCAAATAATGGCCCCCTTCCCGCGAGGGCATCCCAGCGCTTATCCGAGGATGCAGGCAATCCAGATGGCTTGCAGCCGGAGCAAGTCCGCCTCCCCTGGTGCTTCTACCGCACCGCCTGCCGCGCTCGACAGCTCCGGCCAGACGTCCCCAATCCGCGCGGCTTTCCTCGAGGCGTTCCTCGAGCTCCGCGGGGAGCGACACCGCCCCACCAACGCTGGCCCAAGGCTTAACCCTCACAGCCCACACGGTGCCTGGTGCCACGCCCTGCGAGCTCCACATAGAGTGCAGGGATCAGTGCCTGCGCGACTCACCCCTCTGGTTTGGCATTGTACACAAGGGGGTATGATGAGGGGGGGAGGCTTCTTAGAAGAAGGCTGCTTCTTAGAAGGCGCCAGCCCTACATCTACAGACAGCTCCCGCACCTTCTCAGAAGCAGGGGGGCTTCCAAGAAGCCTTCCCCCCAGCCTCTACCCCCCTCTGCGCGTTCCGCAAACGACGGAGCTAAAGCGCTCAGGAACTCACCAGGTCGGCCCTCCTCTGCTGGCCCCGTAGCACGGAGCACCTCCTCCGCGCGCGCCGACGCCTGGAGGTCTTGGCGAGGGGCCCGCGGACGTGGCTGACGGGAGGGACGCCACATCCTAAGCCGCCCAGCGGTGCCAGACACCCTCGCGCTGTGAAACCAATGTACGACGGGAAGTTGTTCGCCATTCTCGGCCTCCCGGAGCCCTTACCGGGCCTCGGGACCGTCAAAAATGGCCCGGGATGAGACACCAGTCCTGGGGAAGGGGTCCGAGTAGATGGGGTTTGAGGATCACGCCGCATCGGCGATGCATCGGCGATGCATCGGCGATGTATCGGCGATGCATCGGCGATGCACCGGCGATGCATCGTCGACGTCGGCGAGACATCGGCGACGTCGACGTGAAGCAAATCGGGCTCGACATCGAGCCGCATCGTCGATGCATCGGCGATGCGGCGCGACCCTCCGACCCCACCTACTCGGACCCCATCTTGGAGGCCTCGAGGAATGGGCCGAGATCTCTTGGTGTCGACGTCGTGCCAAGAATCATGGCGGCGGGGTCTCGGGTGCGGGCCCTCTGGCTCAGAGCGCAGCTGCCGCCCCGTCGGCGCCCGCACGGGGGAGCCGGGCTGGAACGCCAAGCAGTCGGCCCCCTCGGGTGAAGGAGAAGTTCCTCGCGCGCGTCGCTTCTGCCCCCAAGGCCCGGTTTTTGTTCACACCGGGCGGGTTGCGCCCCATTTCGGGCCCACGGGACCCTCGCAGATCGATCCGGCTCGAAAAATGGCGCAGGAAGATGGTGTCTGAAGCTCTGGTCGTGATTTCTGGCGATGTTGCAATTCTTTCGCATGGTCGGATCTCAGGGTGCGTGCGCTCGCACGCGAGTGTGTGTGTGTGTGTGTGCGTGTGCGTGTGCGTGTGTGTGTGTGTGTGTGTGTGTGTATGCGTGTGCGTGTGCGTGTGCGTGTGCGTGTGCGTGTGCGTGTGCGTGTGCGTGTGCGTGTGCGTGTGCGTGTGCGCGTGCGTGTGTGTGTGTGTGTTTGCGTGTGTGCGTGTGTGAATGTGTGTGTGTGCGTGTGTGCCTGTGTGTGAACTCGTGTGAAACTCCCGCTCTGCTGTCCGGGTTCTGGCCTACACAAGTCCAACATCATCCTCTTCGTCCTCCTCCCTACGGCTGGACCTAGGACAGAAGAACATCCTTCAAGAACATAAAACCCTCTGACACCAAACCGAAGAACATTCGAGGGTGCCCTCCCCCAGGATGCACAAAGACATGCAACATATACGAAGAACACGAAGGTACCCTCCCCGAACCGAACTCGATCTTATGCCTCGGTCCGACCGTACTCCTGCCTCTCCTCCTCGTCCTCCTTCCTCCTTTCTCTCGAGAGCTGCCAGACTTGACGGCCCCAGCAGCCAAGTGAGGGCCCTCAGAGGCCGAAGGCTGCCCCAAACCGTCCCCCGCGATGTGTTTTCATGGCGCGAATGGGCTCTCTGTGCCTATAGACGGAACGCAGTCAGTGTCATAATCCGTCTGAGGGGATCCCCCCCGTGCAGTCGCTCTTCTCTTCTCCTCTTCGTCCCCTCTTGTGTTTAGAATAGTTCCTGGCTTGTCCCGCCCGTAGCCCGACCAGTGCCTGCACCACTTTCGCACTCTTGCGCCCGCTGGCTAAAAAAGTGGTCCTCGATGCTCCCTCCCCCTCTGCCTCCTCCTCCTCCTCCTGCGGCTGGGGCTGCGGGCCGTTGGATCTGTCCATGGGGATGCGGCTCTCTCTTCCTCCTCCGCCTCCTCCTCCTCCTTCTCCATCTCCTAGCCTCCTCCTCCTCCTCCTCGTCCTCCTCCTTCTCCTCCTCCGTTCATCCTCCTCCACCACCACGCAACCCAGCCAGAGCGGCCTCCCGGCACATGTCGGCGAAGCCCTCGACGTCCCGCTGCCACTGCGCAAGCACCGCCTCGCCGCGCAGGCGCAGGGAGGTGTGTGTGTGTGTGTGTGTGTTTGTGCTCGTGCGTGTGTGTGTGTGTGTTTGTGTGTGTGTGTATGTGTGTGTGTGTTTGCGTGTGTTTGCGTGTGTTTGTGTGTGTGTGTTTGTGTGCTTGTGTGGTTGTGTTTGTGTGTACGTGTGTGTGAATGTGTGTGATTGTGTGTGTGCGCGTGTGTGTTTGTGTGTGTGTGTGTCTGTGTTTGTGTGTGTGTTGTGTGTGTGTTTGTGTGTATGGTTGTGTGTTTGTGTGTGCTTGTGTGTGTTCGTGTGTATGTGTGTGCGTTTGTGTGTGTCTGTGTGTTTGTGTGCGTGTTAGTGTGCGTGGTTGCGTGTGTTTGTGCGTGTGTGTGTGTGTGTTTGTGTGTGCTTGTGTGCGTGTGTATAAATGTGTGTGTTTGTGTGTGTTTGTGTGTGTGGTGTGTGTGTGTGTTTGCGTGTGTTTGTGTGTGTTTGTGTGGTTGTGTGTGTTGGTGTGTATGTTCGTGTGTATTTGTGTGTGTGTCTTTGTGTGTGTGTTTGTGTGTGCGTTTGTGTGTGCGTGTGTGCGTGTGTGTGATTATGTGCGCGAATGTGTCTGTGTGTGTTTGTTTGTTGTGTGCGTGTGTGAGAATGTGTGTGAATGTGTGTGTGAATGTGTATGTGTGAATGTGTGTGTGCTTGTGTGTGAGTTTGTGTGTGTTGTGTGTATGTTGTGTGTGTATGTTTGCGTGCGTGTGCGTGCTTGTGTGTGGTATGTTTGTGTGAGCGAGCGAGCGAGCGAGCGAGCGTGCGTGCGTGCGTGCGTGCGTGTGTGTGGTGTGTGTGTGTTTAGGCCAGAGGCGGCGTGCGAAGGGGCGGCCTCCTCGTCCTCCTCCTCCTCCTCCTCCTCCTCACTCTTCCTCCTCCTCCTCCTCCTCCTCCTCCTCCTCTCCTCTCCTCTCCTCCTCCTCATCCCCCTCCTCATCCCCCTCCTCCTCTTCCTCCTCCTCCCTCCTCCTCCTCCACCTCCTCCTCCTCCTCCTCCTCCTCCTCCTCCTCCTCCTCCTCCTCCCCTCCCCCCCCTCCTCCCATGGAACATGAAGCCAGTCATGCTCGAGCCGCAGGTGCGGCGGCGCTTGTGGAAGCCCTCCCCGAGCCTGATCGTCGGTGGGAGCCCCGGGTGGCCCTCCCACGATTCTCGAACCTCACGAGACGATGTCGTTCTTCTGGGAGGAGTCCTCCATCGTGTCCAGAATGGCGACGCCGTTCTCGATCGCCCCCATCGCACAGGCGCAGAAGCTACGAGCGCGCGGTTCCCGTGAGTTCCTGCTCGGTTACCGCGGGGAGGAAGGCCGCTTGAACGCCAGGCTCTTGCCGACTCGGACACTGCTCAATGCGAACGTGCTCTTGGTGAGCGCCAATTGCCTCTCGCCCGGCACAGGCGCGGGGCCCCAGGCCTTGATGGCGCACCTCTGCAAGAGCTCCGCGCGCGTGGCGACAGCGCACTCGCCGGCGGCCTGCTCGACCGCAGCCTTCCCCACCGCCGGCGGACCGGCGCCGCCCACAGCGGGCAGCAGGGCCAGCAGCGCCAACGCGCGCGCGAGGGCGGCCACGGCTGGGCCAAGAGGCGCACAACAGGAGTCGAACGATGGGTACGGTGCAGATCTACTGATCTTCTTCCGCCGAAGGCAACGGTGCCTCTCAGCGCGGCTGAAGCTTGAACTTGGAACCAGAAATGCTATACGGAGAGGCGGAACAAAGAGGAGCAGGACGAGGAGGAGTAGGACGAGGACGAGGAGGAAGAGGGGTGGACGCGCGGCGCTCCGGAGTCGTAGCCAAGACCCAACACGGAGTGGCTGGGAAAGCAAGCTCAACCTCCTCGTCCCTCCTCCCTCCCCCCTCGCTCACCCTGCCTCCCCCTCCACGGGGGTCGGCCTTCAGCGGCGGGGACTTGTGCGGCAGGGCCCTGGACTCGCACAGGGCGACGAGGGCGCGCAGGGCGGCCTGGCGGCGGGTTCGAAGAACAGGAGGGGGAGAGGGAAGAGGGGCTGAGCGCGTTGGAGGCGAGCCTGAGCAGTAGGCTACGATACGGGTTGGGATCGTGCCGTGTGCCTCTGTGGGCCCCGCCCTCGCCGAGGCCTGCCGGGGGCGGGCCCCCGGAACCTTCGGGGGGGGGGGGGAAAGCGGGGTGGGGGGACGCTGCAGCGTAGACTCTTTTCGAGCCCTGCCGCTCACAGCGCGAGGGGAGAGGTCCTTGCCCCCCGCGGGAGGCGAAGGGGGGGGGTGCTCCCAAAGCAGGCGGAGGAGGGACGGCGCACGACCGCTCTTGACGACGAGGAATGAAGGGGGAGGGGGGGAGGGGGGCGTGAAGAAGCCGCCCAGACCGAAGTCAAAACAAGTCGTGGGCGGGAAGCAGCGGGGGGCTGTGGAACCGTTGTGAATGATGTATCCGTGCCTGCGATGTCGTATGGTATCGTTGCCAAGCCCGATCTGCCTGTCAAGGCTCCGTGTACGTATTGGTCCCTCCTCTTCTGTTGGACCTGTTGCTTCGGATCTCAATCCAAATTCCCCTGCCATAGTCGTGCCATCGTTTGCCCCTAGCAGTCCCACCACATGTCGCTGTAACTGCGCAGGCTTCCAATAGTTACCAATCGTCCTGCTGTGTTGGGCCCTCGCTTTGAAAAGACAGCGCCCCGCGTCAATCACCTCACCTCCCTCCCCCCTCTCCCTCCTCCTCCCATCCCTGACTCTGCCCTCCGCATAGCAACCTGATCGGCACAGCCCTAACACTCTTCGTGGGCCCTATACGGAGCTCCACCGAAGGCCCCAGTAGCAGGGTCCACATGCGTCTCTCCCACCCAGCACAGTGCTTCATGGCCTCATTGGAAGCTCCACCGAAGGCCCCAGTGGCAGGGCCCACATGCGCCTCCCACCCATCCAGTACAACATTTCGCTGCCCACAAGAAGCTCCATCGGAGGCCCCAGCGGCAAGGTTCACATGCGTCTGCCCCACCCAGTACACCGTTCCGTGGCCTATATGGCAGGGTCAACGTGCGTCTCCCCACCCAGTACATCGCTTCGTGGCCCAAAGGGAACTCCATGCGCCCCCCCCCCACCAAATACACCGTTTTGTAACCCATAGGGGTCTCAACCGAAGGCCCCGATGGCAGGGTCCACTCCCCGCCGCACAGTGCAACGTTTCACGCTCCTTAATAGGGAGCTCCACAAAAGGCCCCACTGGCAGGGTCCACGTTCCCCCCCCCCCCGCCCAGCGCACCGTTTTGTAGCGCATAGGAAGCCTCATTGGCCCCTGTGGCAGGGTCCACGTGCGCCCCCGCCCCCCAAACCAACGCTTCGCGCCCCCATAGGAAGCGCAATGTCCACATGCGTCTCCCCCATACACTGCACCGTTTCGTGGCCAATAGGGAGCTCCACCAAGGGCCCCAATGGCAAGGTCCATGTGCGCCTCCGCCAACCAGTGCAACGCTTTGCAGCCAATAAGAAGCGTCACCAACGGCCCCAGCGGCAGGGTCCACATGCGTCTCCCCAACTCTATTTGGTGGCTCATAGGGAGCTCCATCGAGAGCCCCAGCGGCAAAGTCCACATGCGTCTCCCCCAGCCAGTATAACGTTCCGTGGCGCATAGGGGGCGCTCAGATCTGGCAAGCGTAGGCCTGCCCGATGTTGGCATACGAAAAAGTTCGCCAGGGCCTGGCGCCCAAGACGATGGCACTCACCTACTCTGGGTTTCTTAATAAGCGTGGGAGGGGTACCCCCCCAACGGGGGTCAACCTCGCCTCGTCGTCGCGCCGCGACGGTGGTCGGAGCACCAACGGCGCGCGGTGGCTGCCAGCGACGGGGGTCGATGTGAGGCTGTCGGCGGGGGTGACGCCCCCCGACGCTTATGAAGAAGCTCGGAGTAATTAACGCCCTCACCCTATGCACAACATGTTCGGATCCAGTCCGATCCGCAATCAGTGCTCCCTTGAAAGGCCCCCGTGGCCGACAGGAGGGGTGGGCAGAGAAGACGGGAGCGGGAGAACCACACAATCAGCAGACACGTGGCTTGCATCCTCTGCGCTCCTTCCGGTGCTGGGAGCAACCATGGGCCCGAGGAGGCTGCCACTCGGCGGGGCCGACAACAGCTGCCCGCAGCAGATGCCGCACCCGGCTCCGCTTTCTGTCATACCTGCCCGAGAAGGACGCCGGTCAGGAACTGTTGCGGAGCGTGTCGCGGCGGCGGCCCCAGCGACCCCTGCGACTGGATCGCATGTCGCTCCGCTCCGCGGGGGGGGGGGCTCAGGAAAGCTCTGGACGCTGGCGCTGGGCGGCCCAGAAGTAGACAGCGTGTCGCACCGAAGCGTGGTGGGCCAGGACCGGCGGAGCAAAACACGCTATCAGTCAGCTCCCGACCATATAGTCGGACCTAGGACAGAAGAATATCCTGCAAGAACATGAGACCCCCCGCCAGCCAAAACGCACTGAACATCCACGGGTACCCTCCCAAAATGCACAAGAACATCCAAGAAACACGAAGAACATTAGGGCACCCTCCCCGAACCGACCTCGATTTTATACCTTGGTCCGGCAGTAACCGAACCCACATGGGATGTCCTGATTTGAGGCACCACGCCTCCTCGCACTTCGTTCCCGCTCGACCTCAGGAGCCAGCCTGCCGCTCGCCGACGCGCATGCCCGAGCACTCCAGCATCCGCAGACTCGCGCTTGACTCGAGGTGGCTTCCACGGCAGCTGCGCCGGCCGCAGCGGCGGTGGGAGGGCGGGCTTGCAGATCAGGAGCCGTCTCCACAAACTCTGGGGACTGGGATGCCAACGACGTCTCGATGCTTCACCATGTGCACCCAGAGGTGCAGACCCTTTCCCTGGAACCGGTGTTGCGCCCCGAGCCGTTTGTTGACGGTCTCCAGGCCGACAGAGGGCCTCCAGAGGCCAAGACACGCCCAACACCATCCATCGCGACCTTTCGATCTTTTCATGACGCGAGGGGGGCTTCCTCCTCCTCCTCCTCGTCCTCCTCCTGGGCCTCCTCCGAGGGCTAGTGGTCCCCTCCTACTTTCAGATCGTCCGTGCTTAGCGCGCAGGGTGCCCCGACGAGGCCTGCGGGGGGGGGGGGTCCAAGAGGGGGTGGCGTCCGAGAGGGGGGGGGGCGCAAATCATGGCCGGCGGCATGTGCGCGGCCCAGGGGGGGGGGGGCCAGGGACGCATTGAATTAAGAAAAGGCGCCATGAAATCGGGGAGACATACACGCTGGTCGGAAGAAGTGGGTAGGAACATGAAGTAGGAAGGCGTTAGAAACTAGATTGGGCTTCCGCCCGCACCCTGGAGAGGAGGGAAGAAGGAAACCTGTCGATCCTTGAAGCAGGAAGGCGCTTAAAGTAATTCGGGGATGGACAGACCTCCCTTTAGTAAAACGTGGTTTAGTGAAAACGGCCTGAGGCCCAAACCTGGCGGGCGCAAGCCTGGAAAATAACGGCCACGGCGCCCTCTCGAGAACCGAAAACGGACAATTCACTAATCGACGTGTCACTGTTGGGGGTTCTGTCTAGCCCCGATAGTTTGGGATCTGGGAATTAGAAAAAGTACCTACTTCCAACGACCGGCGCGCAATGGCCCCCGAAATGTTATCCCCCCCTTAGCCGTCACCCCTCTCTGCCGCCCCCGAGACCAGCAGCGGCCCGCGCGGGAAGCCCGGGCCTCGAGGCTGCTGGCGAGGCTGCGCGCCGATGCCTCGCCGGCGCGGCGGGAGGGCGGCAGACGGGAGAGGAAAGCGGGAGAGGAGAAGAGGAACGAGGATAATGAGGGCAGGAAATAGGAAGAAAGGAAGAGACACGAGGATAAGTAGGAAGGAGAAGAGAGAAGGAGGAGGAGGAGGAGGAGGAGGAGGAGGAGGAGGAGGAGGAGGAGGAGGAGCTGAGGAGGAGGAGCTGAGGAGGAGGAGGCGGAGGAGGCGGAGGAGGCGGAGGAGGAGGATGAGGAGGAAGAGGAGGAGGAGGCCCAGGAGGCGGTGAGGAGGAGGAGGAGGCCCAGGAGGCGGTGGGAGGAGGACGAGGGAGGAGGAGGCAGGAGGAGGGACAGGGGACAGGGGGAAGTGGAGTTATTGGGGCGGGAGAGGGCGGCGCAGGATCCAAGGCCCCAGCGCCCCCGGCGCTAGGAGGCGCCTCCCTCGGGGCCGCAGCTCAAGAGATGTGACCTCCTCCTGCTCGTCCTCCTCCTCCTGCTCCTCCTCCTCCTCCTCCTCCGCCTCCTCCTCCTCCCGCTCCTGCTCGTGCTCGTGCTCGTGCTCGTGCTCCTCCTCCTCCTCCTCCTCCTCCTCCTCTCCTCTCCTCCTCCTCCTCACCCCCCACGTAGGTCCCCCCCCCATTACCATCCGCCTGGTGAACATGAGCACTGCTCTCCCTCCGTCGGCCATCGAACCCAGTCCCAGAGCTTGCTCTGCGTCCCAGGCCGTTGCTGTGGATGGCCCCACTCGGGCCCGAAGCAAGAACGGAAGCCAACAACGATTGAGAAAGGGGCCGTCCTCAGGGTAGGGCGTCGATCCGCTGGCCCGCTCAGGAGTCTGGGGGCGCCCTCAGAACTCCTCCCTGAGGGCCTTCGTTGCGTCCTCCGGCCGCACGCTAACATGGGTTAGGGGTCTGTGGATCTGGTGCGTGGGCGCCAGGTCTGAAGGGGCCCCAGGACACACAAATAAATACACACAAATAAAAATAATCCCCATATTTTCCCATATTTTCTGGGTTTTTGTCTTCCCCCCCAATTCCCATATTTTTCCATATTTTCTGGGGAATCGCCGATTAATTGTGTCTGTGTGTTTCTTTTCCTCCTGAAGGTCCACGGATCCAAGGACCTGGGCCAGAATCACATCTTTGGAGAACACGGGGCCCTCCGCCGGGCCAAAACAGACAGAACATCCCACGGCACCCTCCCCAGGATGCACAAGAACATCCCACAAGCACGAAGCACATTAGGGCACCCTCCCCGAACCGACCTCGATCTTAGACCCCGGTCCGGCTGCACCCGGGACGCGCGGGGCCGGTGCCGCCTCGCCTGGCGACGCACCGCGCCGATGTCGCATGGAAACGGGAGCCGTCGCTAATCCACGCGCCTTCACCAATGTTTGCGCTTCTCTGATCTTCTCTCCCCCGAAGACGCTTCGGGAGTAGCCCACCCCTCCGCATACTGCTCTCCCCCCATACACACAGGATTCCATTATGATTGGTATTGCCTACGCATCACATGTTGTTTCAGTCTACGTCTTCGGTGTCTCAAGAAGGTGCTGCCGCTGCAACGTTGGCCTGACTTTAAGATCGGCGCTTTGCTCGCGTCGTTCAAGATGGCGAACTCGCCCCAGAGCGGGCGAAGTTGACTCATTTATCATCGTTATCGCCCCCCTCCTTTCCCCTCCTCCGCCTTCCCCTGGTCATCCTGCTCCTGCCCCCCTTTCCACTCCAGTTCCCGATGCTGCTGTTCGTCGTCGTCGTCGTCGTCGTCGTCGTCGTCCTCCTCCTCCTCCTCCTCCTCCTCCTCCTCCTCCTCCTCCTGCTCACGCTCCTCCACATCCTTCCTAATGATCCTCCTCCTTTTCCTCTTGCACATCTTTCCGGTCGCCTATTTTCGACTCCTCCTCTCGATCCTCCTCCTCCTCTCGATCCTCCTCCTCCTCCTCCTCCTCCTCCTCCTCCTCTTCCTCCTTCATTTCATTATCCTCCTCATCTTCAGCCTGGTCGCTGGGTTGATACTCCTCCTCCTCCTCCTCCTCCTCCTCCTCCCTCCTCCTCCTCCTCCTCTTCCTCCTCCCTCCTCCTCCTCCTCCCTCCTCCTCCTCCTCCTCCTCCTCATCACCATCATCATCATCCAACTCCTCGCCCTCCTCCTATGTACGCAACTCCCCTTTTCCCGACCATAACACGACGATCATGTTGGGAGTTCTAGGTCCGCTATGCTACACGTCCGCGGATAGAGGCAAAACGGCGCAATCGGAAGGGATGGGTGGGAGGAATAGGAGGTAGGATGTCAGATCTGGCGCGGGCGCACCTACCTTGTCCCTTCCCCTTCTCCCCCCTCGTCGTCCTCGTCGTCTTCGTCGCTCGTCCTTTCGCCCGGCCGCTGGGCTCCCTCGCCTTGGTAGAAAGTGCGCATCGCTCTCTCTCTCTCTCTCTCTTTTTCTCTCTCTCTCTCTCTCTCTCTTGTTCTCTCTCTCTCTCTCTCTCTCTCTCTTTCACACACACTATTTCGCGTCGCGGCCCTGCGGGCGGCGCCACGGCGGCAAATGTCGTCAAGCAGCGAACGCGCGTGCGCGACAGGGAACCTTTGAGCCCTCAGAGACCGCCTAGGGCCCAGGGCCCCGCAGCGGCCAGCAGCCGTCAACCAATACCACCCACGCACACACACGCACGCACGCACGCACGCCGTGCCGAGGGCGCCGCGCGCCCGAGGGCGGCCCCGAGCCGCGCGCGCAGCTTCGGCGGCGAGGGCTCCCCCCTCGAGCCCCGTCTCGTCCTCCTCGTCCTCCTCCTCCTCCCCCTCCCTGCTTCTCCTCCTTCGTCCTCCTCCTCCTCCCCCTCCCTGCTTCTCCTCCCTCCTCCTCCTCCTCCTCCTCCCTCCTCCCTCCTCCCTCCTCCAGCGCCAGCTGGCACGAGCCGCCGCTCTGCGCCAGCCAGCGCCATCGGCGCTTCCCCGCGCCGCCTCCCCGCTCTCCCCTGCTCCCGTCCCCTCGGCCGCGCTATGGAGGCGCCTCCCGCGGCCACCGCAAGCCGCCGCAGGCCGCCGCGGAAGGCTGCCGCGCGTCGCGCGCAGTACACGAGGGCCGAGGCGCGCGCGTCAGAACACCTTCTGCGCGCCTTCGCAGCCCTCACCAGCCATCGTGGCCGCCAGCCATCGCAGCTGGCCCAGGCGGTGGCCTCGGCGCTGGCGGCGGCGCCAACGCCCTCTGCGCAGCGGGGCGCAGCGGCCTCTCCCTCTCCGGATGCTGTCGCTCCCGGTGCCCATGGAGGCGACGCGGCGGCTGCAGTCCCCTCGTCTCCGCTGGCAGCGGGACCAGCGGCCATGGCTGCCGAGGCGGGCTTTCCAGACCACGGGGTTCTCGGTCAGCGGCTGGCGGCAGCGGGCGACGACGTGGTGGTCCCGGAGGGCGAGTTCACCTCCCCCTCTGCCCCCCCCTCTGCACGGCCTCCTTTTCTTCCCCGCGGCACCCCAATCCCAGGCTTTCCGCCTAGGACGCGGGCGGAGGCTGATCCAGGCCCCAGCCCTGCCACTGCTCTAGGCCTCGCGCAGGGCTTATGCCCGCCACCATTTTTTCGGCAAGTCTCTGTACCTTCACGGCCGTCAAGGCCAGTACCACTCCCAGTACGCCCTGCAGCGCCAGCGCCGCCAGCACCTTCACGGCCGACAGGGCCGGTGCCAGTACCCTCACGCCAGCCAGAAGCAGTGCCAGTGTCAGTGCCGTCGCCAGGGCAGCCATCATGTACGCCACCGGGGATCACAGCAGCGGAGGCGAGGGCCTGCCGCGCGGTGCTGTCAGCCTCGAGTAATCTGTTCGCGGCCCCGCAGCAGTCACAGGCAGACCCAGTGCCAGGGGCGCAGCTGCCGAGCCCCACTGTGCAGAGTCCGCCACGCCACGACGACTCTAGGCCCTTTTTTCACCTGTACCCCAGCACGTGCCGCCTTGGATGCAGCGGCCGCAGCGCGGCGCGTTGCCGCATCTGCCGCGCACCAGTCTCCGCCATAGGCGGCTCGAGTCACCAGCCATCCTCCAGAGCTCAGCCAGTTTTTCCCGCCGAAGGCGGAAAGCCAGAGCAGGGAGGGGGATGGGCAGGTATGGCAGTTTTTTGCGGCAGGTCTGGCTGCCCTCTCTGGCCTTCGCGCACAGCTACTTTGTACAGCTCGGCCTCTCCTGAAAGACGGGGTGGAGCCCACATGGGAGGGGTCGGCCACGCCCTCCTGAAAGACGGGGTCGAGCCCACATGGGAGGGTGTGGTGCCAGCGCCAACTGGCTTCGGACCTTTTTCGCGGGCCGGCAAGGCAGCAATCTCTGGCACTTGCGAACAGCTACTCTGTACAGCACCAGGCCCCTCCTGAAAGACGGGGTCGAGCCCACATGGGAGGGGTCGCCCGGGCCCTCCTGAAAGACAGGGTCGAGCCCACATGGGAGGGCTCGGCGCTGGCGTTTTGAAGGCCAGCAAGCAGCCCTGGCTTCTTCCTACCCAGCGCGGCCTCGTGGCACACCTTCCACTGCTTACTTGTATAGCCCCAGGCCTCTCCTGAAAGACGGGGTCGAGCCCACATGGGAGGGGCCTGCCGTGCCCTCCTGAAAGACGGGGTCGAGCCCACATGGGAGGGCGCGGCGCTCGCGCACGGCACGCAAGCACACAGGCCCTGGCTTTTTCACCGCAGCGCGGCCTCACGGGGAACCCCCGCCCTTCTCCAGTCCAGCACTCCTCCCCTGGAGGTTTGGACAGCCGCACGGCGGCCTGGCCAATTTGGCCCTCCTTCCAGCTCTTCCCTCTCCTTCAGCCGACCGCAACCTGGACGGCACACCTAGGCAGGTTTCTCCTTTTTCCAGCCTTGTACTGCTCTTTGCCTCGAGGGCTGCCCTGCTATGGGCAACGAAGCAGGGCTCCGCTGATGTCTCTCTTCGCACGGAGCTGCAAACTCCTCCTCTCTCTTATAAGATTCCTCTCTTCCCCCAATCTATGATTCCTCTCTTCCCCTCCCGCAGCGCCAATACCTCTCTCCCGACAGTTTTCGGGACGAGAGCGGAAGCAGCTCAGCGTCCATGCTCTCGGGCTTCTCGTGCGCAGCCTGTGCCAGTCCTGTTGGCCGCTGCGCTCAAGCTAACTTGCAACGAGCTAAGTATAGTCAAAGCCTCCCTCCTCCTCCTCCTCCTCCTCCTCCTCCTCCTCCTCCTCCTCCTCCTCCTCCTCCTCCTCCTCCTCCTCCCCCTCCCCCTCTTCCGAGACGGGGGAGGTCGGCCGGCCTCGGGCTGCGGACTGGCCAGCGGCCGAAGGTCTGGGCCGATCTCGGGCCGACCGCTGCAGCCGCGGTGCGCAGGGCACGAGGTCTGGCCTCCCTTCCGGCGCCACCCCGACGCGGTGCGCTGCCCGGTTGGTCGGCTCCGAGGGGCCAGGAAACTATGCACCAGAATACCCTTCCTGGGTCGAGGATCCACGACGCCTCGGGAACCATGCCTGGCCTCTCTCCAGGCGCCACGCTGATGCGGTGCGGTGCATGGGTTGTCGGCCCTGAGGGGTCGAAAAACTCCGGTCGGGAACCTTTGGATAGCGTATCTCGTCGGCGGCTCCGGCGAAACGCTGTGCCTAGGAAGCGGATAGCGTTTCGCTCCGCTCCGCGGGGCGGGAGGCCGGGAGAAGCTCGGGAAGTGGACGCGTGGGGACTGGGCTGTGGATAACGTGCCGCTTGAAGCGTGATGGGCCAGAACTGTGGCAGAGCGACACGTTATCCTTGGGTCGGGCATGTCCTCCTACAGGCGGATTTGGACGAAAAGTAAAACATATTCAAACATAGCCAAAAACAGCTCAAACAAAAAAAAAAAAAAAACGTCCCCGGACGATCTTGTGATTATTTTTGAGCATTCCTCCTATAGAGGGGCACGCCCGACCTAACGATATCCAACAAAAAATCCCGACCGTATGCGCCGCACCCTTCCCGGGGCGAGGACCCACGACGCCTCGGGAGACGCCGGCGCGGCACAGTGCACACACGAGTTTTCCGCGGACAGGGGGTGCCTCCTGGGGCGGCCTGGGGGCCCAGGGCAGAGTGGCCAGGCCGAAATACAGAGGCCACTCAGCTGGAGGTCGGGCGTGTGCCCCTACAGGCGGATTTGGGAAGAAACATGAAAATAGTCACAACAAATACCCAAACATGGCCAAACATGGTCGAACAGTCGTCCCCAGACTATGCCTTGACCGTGTCGGCACTCTCCTCCTGCAGAGGGACGTGCCCGACCGAAGCTTCGCGCCCTCGCGCCGCCCCCACCGGAGGAGGGCAGCCGCTCTGGCCGGGACCGCGGCGCGCGAAGCGCGATCGCCTCCGCGGCCCCGCGGGCGACCTGGGAAATCGGAGCCGCCCTCGGGCGGATCGCTGTAGCTGCGACCGCGCTGCGCGCGGGGCCGTCCGGCAGTCGACCCGGGCTGCCTTGGAGACCAGGCCCTCCTGGAGAGGGCAGAAGCCATGAGCGGCGAGCAGATCCATATCCACGCCCTGCGGTCTGGATTCCAGGGCGCGATCCCGCGGATGCGCGATGGCATGGATACGTTCCGCGCGGGGCATCCGCGAACAAAAACTCCCCGTTTCCATGGAATCGCGGCCCAGAGGCCCAGCCCGCGAGGCCGTGGATATGGATACGTTTCCCTCCCACGAAGAACATCCCTCATAATCAACACCCCTACAATCGAAACCCCTTAGTCCACTCCCCTGGGGAAGGAATCGAGTAAGGCGATACTGTTTCGCATACCTGCCTGAGGACATTTCAGCTAAACGCCACTCATGGTAGTCGGAGTGTTTCTGAGGGCTCCCGCGGGCCTGGGATCCATCTGGAGAGCGCCACCCCGGGACTCCCCAAGCGGCAACCCAGAGCCCCCCGGGCGGGGCGGCGCCGCTGAGTCAATGCGCGCTGCCGCACCCAGCGGGAGGCTCGGGCGCCTCGGAGGAGGGGAGCGGCATGCGCTGGAAGTGGGCCACTCCAGGATCTGGGGGAGGGGAGGGGAGGGGAGGTGCTCGTCCCGCAACCGCTCTGAGGGGAAAAAGACCTCCCCAGGCAGCAGTCTCGCCCTGTCGCCTTCCTGGGATAGGGGAGGGGAGGAGGGACGGGAGAGAGGATCGGGGAGGGAGGGGAGGGGAACGGGGTGCAGACGGGGGGAGATGACGGGGAGGGGAAAGAGGGGAAGGGAAAAGGGCGAGGGGATGGAGACGGTGGGGAGGTATGGGAAAGAGGGGAGATGGAGAGTGGGAAGGGGGGGGGGGGCAGGGGAGGGGGAGAACTGAAAGGCAGATGCGGAGAAAGGAAAGGAAGGTGGGAAGATGGGAGGGGAGGGGGAGGGGGGCGGCCCCCAGAGCTGTCGGAGCGTCCACCACGGGTGCCCTCTTGAGCAACGACCCGCCGCGCGAGGGCGCCTGGTCCGTGTGCAGCGAGAGCGCCAGCTCCAGGTGCCGCTCAGGGCCTTGCTGGCGGGGGCGACGGCGGCCACGGGGGCGACGGCGGCGGCGGCGGTGACGGCAGACGGTGGCGGACGACGGCGGTGGCGGCTCAGGACTTCCAGGCTGGGTGCAAAACAGGTCCTAGTCCAGACGTCCTCTGCTGCTTATATATCTATATATATATATATATATATATATATATATGTGTATATATATAGGAGGCAACTACTGGGAAGTCTTCGTCGGAAGGATGAAGGAGGATTGAGCCCCAGTGGGGGGCTGTTACGCCAAAGTGGGCCTCGGATTAAGCGGGGTTAGGCCGGATGAAGCGGTTAAACGGGATGAAGCCGGATCAAGCGGGATTTAACCGGACGAAGCCGGATTTCGGACCAGGGCAACATCAGAATTTAAACTCCCAGGAGTTGCATCCGAATGTGTATATATATATATATATATACACTCCTTGTGGGGCCACCGGGCTGTAGGCCGAAACTTCGCAGTGTCCTATACCAGTTGCAGCTTCCAGTTTCCACGGTTACAATTCTGCTTATTGCTGCTTACTGTTCCTTGTTGACTTATTGCTGCTTACTGTTCCTTATTGATGGACCGCGCGAGGGGGGGGAGGCCCAAAACAGACATTTTTGCCACGCCCTGAGCGTGGTGTCTGAATTGCTGGGGTGGCTAAAAATTTACACCACTCACGCAGATCGGCGGGGTCAGGGTCCAAAAACACATGGGATTTGCCACATGTTTGAAATTCGCTGGCACCCCTCACGCCTATCGGCGGGGTCAGGGTCCAAAAACACAAGGGATTCGCCACATGTTTAAAATTCGCTCGCACCCCTCACGCAGATCGGCGGAATCAGGGTCCAAAAACACATGGGATTTGCTACATTTCTGAAATCCGCTGGCATCCCTAACGCAGATCGGCGAAGTCGGGGTCCAAAAACACATGGGATTTGCCACATGTTTGAAATCCGGTGGCACCCCTCACGCAGATCGGCAGGGTCAGGGTCAAAAAACACAAGGGATTTGCCACATCTCTGAAATTCAGAGGCACCCCTCATCCAGATCCGTAGGGTCAGGGTCCAAAAACACATAGGATTTGCCACATGTCTGAGATTCGGTGGCACCCGTGACGCAGATCCGTAGGGTCAGTGTCGAAAAACAAACAAGTCCCGACACTGCTTCACGACGGCGCCCAGACCTCATGATTCAGCTCTTGCATCTCACATTATCCGAGACAGGGGGCCGGCGGCATGGGGCGAAGCCTTTACGGATATACATATGTCCCAGGTTCGGGGATACTGCCAGGCCAGGATGTCTTCCTCATGAGTACGCTGATTCGATCTGTGTGCTGCGAGTGCCGAGAGCTTACCTGCACGAGTACTGGACGCAGCACTCGAAGAGAAACGGGCTGGACAGGATAGACATGACAGCCTGAAAACCCAGGATAGGTTCTCGCCCTTAAAAGGAGGCTGAGAGGGAGGTTTGGGGAGGCAGAGTGCAAAGCATTAAAACGGAGTCTGTGGGTGCTTGAAGCCAGAACGATTACGAAGCGAGAAGCGGCCTTCACGTGTCACCCTCCAGAGAACAATGGCATGTGAACAAGCGTCAATGTTCCAGGTTCGGGGATATTGCCAGGCCAGGATGTTTTCCTCATTAGTACGCTGATTCGATCTGCGTGCTGCGAGTGCCGAGAGCTTACCTGCACGAGTACTGGACGCAGCACTCGAAGAGAAACGGGCTGGACAGGATAGACATGACAGCCTGAAAACCCAAAGCGCTTTTTTCTTCCAAAGATAAACCCTGGTATTACCGCAGCCCCTTCGTTATTTCCATTGCTTAGAGAGAGTAGACCAAATAACGGAGGAGAACGCGTTGACGAGCTGCCGACACAACTGCGGCGGGTATGGCTCAGCCTGAAGCGCACGGTGCCGGCCCGACTGATCATGCCCATGCAGCACGATATGAGGTCGACCGCTAAACTCACATAATTTACGGCCAGCACAGCGACGCTGAAGATGTGCAAGGTGTACATTAGCTGAGACAAAACGGGTGCGCTTCCGCCGCGGCATCCCATGCACGCAATAGTCGATGACGGTGGTTTCGACGTCGGGAAGCCTCAGAAGTTGCTGCCAGCACGGGAGGTTCCAAAGCCGACTGGTGCGAGGGTTTTCGATGGTCACCGGGATGCCGTGGGAACGAGCAAGCCTAAAAAGGCCAGCTGAAAAAGCGGCGAGATGATTACCTTCCTGAACTCGTGCCAGAACCCGAGGAGAGAGCCCGGGAACACCTTCAGGATGAAGAGCGGTACGCCATCATTCCCGATTGGCAGCCGAGAACGTAGTACACGGGGCACCCAGCCAGAGGCCCACAACGAGGCCCACCCGAACCCACCCGCGGACAAGACGACATAAACGGGAACCATTGAGATCATGGCGGGGCCCTGCACGGATGTCAATTGAGAAGACTGGGGTCCCCGACAAGGCCCGACACGATCGCCGGGCCGCACTCCAGCGGGCCTGCCCGGCGAACAGCTCTCAGGCAAACCGGCCCCCGCGAGGAGCTGCCGCGCGAGGGGTGGCTGCAGGATCACTGAGCCAATGCGCTCCGCGCAGAGGTTGGCTGCGAGCTGAGTGACCTGGTCGAGTCGGTGCACCTGCTCGTTGAGGCGCCCGGCTTTCACGTAGCGGTGCAGCGAGGCGTCGGAATCCCAGCGCCCCCTCTTCTTCACGCCCAGCAGTTCCCGTTGCCCAGAGTGGATCTCGTGAGAGGCCCCGCCGCGGCGCATCTGGTAGATCGTCGCGGGGTGGAGAGGCCCGAGAGGCAGGTCGGCCACGGCGGCCCTGAAGTGGGCCGTCCATCTGGCGTAGTCTACGTCGGCGATCGGCTCGGCCAGCGGGCCGCGGCCCCGCAGGTGCTCCAGCACGACGTCGACCCACTTGAAGTCCGGGTTGTCGTTCAGGAGAGACTCGTCGTACGCGCGGGTCTTGCTTGGGACCTCCCCCTCCAAGGGGTTCAGGAAAATCCCCCAGTGCCGAAGTCTGAGAGGGCCTCGTGGGACCGGAGGAATCAAGTCCCTCCGCCTGGCCCTGAGGAGCTCCGACGGCCGGCAGTAGAACGCGAAGTTGAGGAGCGTCATCAGGCCGGCGTCCACGTCCCCGTGGGCGATCATCTCGACGATCACGAGCGCTGCCACGACCCATTGCATGGGCAGTCGGGCCCGCTTCGGCGCTGGACGGCCGAAGCCCCGCAGGGCAGCCCGGGCTCGAGGAAGCTCCGGAGTCTTCCGAGACAGCCGGTAGGACTCCAGGTGGGCCAGGGCAGCCAGCAGGACCGACGCGCGGTCGACTACCTTTCCGTTGAAGAAGAGGTCGTGGAACTACTGCACGAGCCCGATGTCGAGCTCCCGTACCGTGCCCAGGGCGATCCCCATGGCCAGGCACCAGCTCTTGAACTCGCTCACCATCGTGATGTACCTCGTCCGCTGCTGGGGCTTGATGACGCTGTGCTCGAGGAACGAGGTCCCGGCGAGCGGCCCCACGCGGGCGCGGGAGCCGGGCGAGCCCTGCGCCGAGCGGAGCGGCGGTCGGCCCGGCGAGCCCCCTCCAGCGCAGGCCGCTCCAGGTGGCTCCGAGGTGGTGGGCGAGCCGGCGGGGTCGCCGCTGGTCGCTTGCGGGGTGTGGTCCTCGCTGACCTCGGAGGCGCAGCAGGACGGGGCAGCGTCAGTGGCGCCGAAGCCGGCAGCAAGCACGCGACCGGCTGCACGGACCCGCCGCTCACGGGCATCAGGGCCCCCCCAGGCAACCTGAGCATCACCGGCGAGCCGAACGTCGGGCCGGCCAGCGACTCCAGGCCACTCGAGGCCTGGGGGAGGTGGGACAGTCGAAGTAGAAGAAGTGGGTGGCCTCGAAGAGGTAACTCGAGCCGACGCAGCAGGCATGGCAAAGCGCTTTCCACGAGACCCGGGATCCCCAGCATTGTGTTCCGATGGCACCCACCTCCAGGTATGGCATGAGAACGACGCCAGGGCCAGAGAGCCATGCTGCCGACATACTCGCAGCATAAGCCTCGTAGAAGATCGGCCCTTGGTGACAGCGAGGATGGGGGCCATGGAGTCCCCGAGGTGCAGGTGCCTTTGGCCGAAGCTCCGGAGCGCCCGGACCCTCCGCTTCACATCCCAGACCATCGCTCTTCCCTCAAGGCATACCTGGGGTTCGGGGCGCCGCCGGGCTCTGGACTCCGCGGGGGCCCAGGGGGCATCCCACAGAGCCACAGGGGCCGGGGGCGCAGAACCCAAGGGGACCTCAGGAGGGGAGTCCCGATGATGACCTCCGAGGCGCTGCGCGAGGAGAGCCGAATCCCGCGGGTTGAACGACTTCTCCCCAGACTGAGTAAACCTCCACCGCTCGTTGAAAGACCCCAAGGACGCAATGTCAAGGTCCGAGGCCACATAGGAGCAGCCTCCAAGACCCCAGGAAGACGCATCCACCACAGTGACTTCAGGATCCCATTCGGCCCCAAGATCACGATAAGCCAACGCTATCAGGTGGCTCGCCCAATTCAGCTCGCGAAGGACAGACGGCCAAATTTTTACTGCACGGTCTCCAGCATGCTCGGCAAACGCGTAAGCGGCATTGAGTATACACAGATAAGCTCACGGCGTATGAGGCACCTGGTTGTATAGTGTGAAAGAAATATTTCCATGGTGCGCCCAGACGTGAAACGGCGACGACAGAGCTCGATGAAGGCGAGCCGAATTTTCCAGCACATGACCGGATTCACTCCCGCTTCAGCGGTACCCGACGAGAACTGCCAGCCCAGCGTCGCGCCGCCGACCGACGACTCGCACGGATGAACAGGCAGCGGCGCCGACGAGAGTTGCTGCGAGACCTTGTCTGCAGCGGCTTGCACAGCAGAAAGAGATTGACTGAGAGAAACAAAGTTGTCCACATATTCTGTATGGATAAGAGGATGGAGTGGGGGGGCCAGTCTCCCGTCGTAGAGAGCATTATGTAAA